AGTCTACCCAGGCAATAGGAACAAGAACAAAAATAAACAGATGGGACCTAATTAAACTTATAAGCTTTTGCCTAGCAAAATAAACCATAAGCAAGACAAAACAGCAACCTACAGAATGAAAGAAAATATTTGCAAATGATGAGACTGACAAAGGCTTAATTTCCAGAATATATAAACAGTTCATACAATTTAATAACAAAAAAAACCCAATCCAAAAATGGACAGAAGACCTAAATGTTCTCCAGTGAAAACATATAAATAGCCAATATGCACACAAAAAAAATGCTCAATATCACTAATTATCAGAGAAATGCAAATCAAAACTACAGTTAGGTTCCACCTCACACTAGTCAAATAGCCATCATTCAAAGTCCATGAACAATAAATGCTGGAGAGGGTGTCGAGAAAAGGGAACCGTCCTACACTGTTGATGGGAGTGTAGTTTGGTTCAGCCATTATGGAAAACAGTTATGAAGATTCCTCAAAAAACTAAAAATAGAACTACCATATGATCCAGCAATCCCACTTCTGAAGGGTATATATCTGGTGGGAACTCTAATTCGAAAAGATACATGCACTCTAATGTTCCTAGCAGTACTATTTACTGTAGCAAACACATGGAAGCAACCTGAATGTCCACTAACAGATGACTGGTTAAAGAAGTTGTGTTATATTTATACAATAGAATATTACTCGGCCATAAAAAGAATAAAATAATGCCATTTGCAGCAACATGTGTGGACCTAGAGATTGTCATTCTAAGTAAGCCAGAAAGAGAAAGAAAAATACCACATGCTATCACTCATATGTGAAATCTAAAAAAAAAGAAAAAAAGGACATTATGAACTCATGTACAAAACAGAAACAGATTCGCAGACATAGTAAACAGTCTGAGGGTTACCAGGGAAAGAGGGTGGGAAGGGATAAATTTGTGAGTTTGAGGTTTACAAATGTTAGCCGTTATATATAAAAATAGATTTTTTTAAAAAGTTTCTTTTGTATAGCACAGGGAACTATATTCAATATCTTGTAATAACCTTTAATGAAAATGAATATGAAAACAAATAGATGTATGTATATGCATGACTGAGACATTGTGCTGTACACCAGAAATTGACACATTGCAACTGTACTTCAATTAAAAGAAAAAGAAAAAGAATGTTGATACAGTAATACCTAAATGCAATTAGATTTATACAAAACTTTCCATTTGGTAGTGATTAAAGTTCAGTAAATAACAAATGCCTTCCTTCGGTAACCATTGTTTACTAGTAGGTAAGTATAAGCAGTCCTTACTTTGTATGGTAGTGTGGGACCAAAAAAAATGACCATACAAACTAAAAGTGTATAAAACGATCTTAATAATCAATGGGAAAAATTACAGTTCTATAATCTTTAAAAAATTTTGTCAGAACATTAAAAATTTTCCTTTGTTATGAATGTATGGGGAAATGTAAAAAGAAGTAAAACTAATATTAATTTAGGACAATGTAATATGAAACATTAGAAATAATTAGAATTACAGCGCTTTATTTCTTCGTAAAAAACTTACCAAGAGTAGTTTAACAGTGCTTTGCCTTCCCTTGTGTAACTTAGAAAAACAGCTAGCAGAGTGAGCAATGCCTTTTTTTCTATGCCTTTGCAAATTGTCTTACTCTTTTCTACTAAAGTTAGATCAGCTTCCAACATTTTATCCTTTGCACTTTGAATGTCCTGAAATATCTTTGAGAATTCCTTCATTGTGACTTTTTCTTTTTTGCTGTTGTCACTTCTTCTGGGACATACACTGTTTTGTCACAACCACTTTCCTCATTCATGACAATATTTGCACCTTCACTAAATTACTCTGATGGTGTATGTAGTGTCTTTCAAACAGTGGCAGTGGCATCATTCCCGCAATCAGCTGTTTCTTCTGCTACTCCACTTACATTCAATTTGAATTTCACTCCAGTGTTACCATTTTTCCTTTCTTTGCCATACTTTTCTCTTTGTTGGTCCATTCCCTCTTTCAGTTACCATTTTGTAAAATTTCGTGAGTTTATCATTGAGAGGCAAAAAAGTAAACCAATTACATGCTTTGCTGTCTGTAGGCAAATTGAATAACAGATGAAGTAACCTATCACCAACAGACTTTGAAAAGAAGTGACATGACTGGACTGGTCACTGATCATGACATGCACTCTTGTTAACATAGTAATTTGCGAACTGAAGTGCCAAAAAAGGAGTTTGTACTTATGTAGTTGTTTACAGTTAGTATATTGTGGTGAGTAAAATTGGAACTATGTAGTTAGGGGACTGGTATTATTTGATTAAATTGTGGAATCTGAAATTTGTGTATACAGGAAGCCTGGGAAATGAGGACTCACTGTAATTCAAAGAAGGTTGAACTATTTCATGAATTAAATAAAACATTTGGTTGGTTTTGATGAGACTGAGGACATAGGGCTTCTTGGACTATTTGATTTCTGAGCTGTTGAATGCCTAATACATTTTATGTGGAAATGTAAATTTGATACTATTCTTTCAGCTTCTTTAATCCTCTTAGGTGCTTCTGTAGTGAGGACCTTTCATACTAACTCTCTAGAACAAAACCCCTAGCTGTAATAAGTAAAAACAATGATTTTAGGAGAATAATAGCAATGATGATTATGAATTCACCATGAAGCAACTGACATTGAAAGTAAGTTTTTTTTTAATTTTATATAATGTTGATGTTCTAATAATTGAAGGTGAAAGAAGGTTAACAAATCAGTTTTGATTCATTTAGTCAAGTGACTCCATTTTCACCATCTTCATACTGACAAATATTTTATTATTAAATGTGAAAGATAAGTTCTCTCTCTGTGTTGGTTGAAACTGAAAAATGTTCATTTATTGTTTGATTTTTCTACAGGTGAACTGGCACAGAGGTTGATCTCAAGATGCCATTAGTGAAAAGAAATATCGATCCAAGGCACTTGTGCCACACAGCACTGCCTAGAGGAATTAAGAATGAACTGGAATGTGTAACCAATATTTCCTTGGCAAATATAATTAGACAACTAAGTAGCCTAAGTAAGTATTTTTGTATCAATTAAAAATATTACAAACCAGAATGTTACACTTTAGGATATTAAATGGGGGGGGATATTTAATGAGAAGAGTACAAAATAATCTTGAAAAAGTATTCATTTTAAGTAAAATTAATGAGTTTTAGAGTCATTTCTTCTTCCCCTGTGTGTTTCTTATGGGAAAGGAAAATAAGGACAGAATCATTAGGAACAGAATCGCATGATGGATAAAAAAACTACTGAGATTGTCTTTAAAGTATGATTTGATCTATGAAAGATTGAGCTAGAGTTGTACTTTTACTTGCTTGTTATTCCTGTTTACGTTTTTAGAAACTTCCAACTATTTGTGACTTGGGATACTAGTATTTCTTTATATGTATCTTATTAACCTAGGGAAATATTTTTATATTATCAAATACCTAAAAATGAAAGATTTGAGGTAGTAACTAACTAGTCAGAGGATTAATTTAGTCAAATGACATTAGGACATTAGGCCATTAGGGTATCAGTCAAGAGTCTGATTTGCAGCATGTTGTGAAAGTAGTAAGTGAACCTGGCTGCTGGCAGACAGAAGGTAAGCAGGTTGGTCAGATAATAAAGGCCAATGGAAGGGGCAGTTTACGGGAGGAGGAGAGACAGGCAATGTGTTTCCATTATTACAGAACAGAGCTACTAGGTTAAGAAAGTGAATAAATTATTTCCCATTTAGTCTAAATTTAATGTTACAAAAATTTTTAGATATTTAGTTTATCTTTTGAATTGAAGGATTAGCTTTTTATTAGACTTTTATATTTCAGTTTAAAGATGAAACAAGGTGCTCTTGGCCTAGATATCTTCTCTAAGTAGTCCTAGATTTATCAGCTATACCCACCCACCCCCGTAGATTGTTCTGATAAGCAGAATGGCTCCTCTTTTCTTTTCCTTTTAACTTTTGTTCTTTCTTTTTATAGTTTGAGTACTTATCACAAGATAAAAAACGGTTGTTAACCTGATTTGTTTCAAGTGAGAGCATTTGGACATATACATGTAAAAAGTTGTATTTGAATGGTTTTCGTGAGAGCACTAAATTCTACATTGCCTATGAAATAATTGTAAGATTAAATTAGAAGACTGTTTTGTTGACTTTAAGTATACTCCTTGTACCTTTTGGTGATTTTTTTTTTCAGGTTAGTTATTGCCAGTGAATCACTAACATTATATTGTTTACTTGTTTCTTCCTTGGGAAATTCAATATAGAATGTGCTTTTGACACAAGTCAGAAGAAAAGTTCTAGAAAGTGTATTAATATATGATTAATCATATTGTTTAAAGTCATTTGCTAGCACTAATTGGTTTTAAAGATCTGTTAGATTTTAATGATGTAACATAATTCATATAAAATTTATGTATAGTACATGTACATGGATACATTAGTGTGTTAATATTAAAACACACATTAAGAGCATAGAAATAACATTAATAAATTTGGTTAAATATTTCTTTAAAGTAAAATGAATATTGGATCTAGTATAGGCATCTTGTTTTAGGTATATTTTCAATGTAGAATTTAGAATTAATGTAATGATTAAGGTTGTCGATTATGCAGTACTAATCCATTTCTTACATAACCTAGAGGTGAAAATTTAAGGAATTTTCCAGTCTGGTATAGTCCATATAATCAACATCTGTCAGCAAGCACATGATCATGTTGTAGCCAAACTCTTAAAACAGAAATACAGAAATACATTGTAAAAAATAAAACTAGGTTTTGGGTGCTTCAGACTTGGAATCAGAGGCTATATAGGTATTTTCTAAGCAGTTGGTAGAGATTCAAAAAAAGAAAAAAGAGAAAAAGCATAAAATATTGTAGCAAGGGGTAACGATAGTTTACCACCCTAGAATTAAGCTCTCTGGCAGCTTTCCCACTTGACATAGTTGAGAATCTGGAATTAAATTTAAAAGGCCTTTAGATAGCCAGAATAAACAAGCCCAAGCACTAAAGACTATGCATGTAAAATGACCAATTGATTCCTCTCCAAGCTTGCTTGCTTTTACTTTGATAGTTCTGACAGGTTTGATAATGTGGTTTCCAAACGTTTATGCTTCAGAGCATTAAAAAAGAAGATATGGGGGTAGATAACAGAAGCAGGCATTACTGAAGGCAACCAAGAGAGGTAATTTATAGCAAAAAGAAGTGACATAAGGGAAAAAGCAACATAAAAACTGGAAAGAGACCATTTAATGTAAAAGCAAGTATTCTTATGCATTCAAGGCTGTCATTTCTCGTAATCAGTTAAATTATGTTTAATTTTTATTTGAGAAGACGGAAAAGTTGAGAGTAGATTTTACATCAGTTCCCGTTCAAAATAGTTAAAATAATAGTTAATGCATTAAATAATATCTGACTTAGAAAACTTGGCTATTCAAAATGGTTCTGGGTAATTGAGATTTTCACTTTGGCACTATTCCTAGCATCAGCAGTGCTACAGAACACAGTAGTGAAGGTCAGCTCCAGGGCTTAGCATGGCTTAGGGGTGGACATCATCCTGACCTCTTCCTTGCAGAAATACACATCCTAGTTCAGTATTTTTTCTAGTAGAACACAATTCTGTTTTATAATAGATAATTACTGAAAACCTAGGCTTCTCTTTATTTAAATTTTTTCTGCTATACCAAAAAAATTTCCTATTTTATTACTTTCTTATTTAACAACCATTGGGACTCTTAACTACCTGAGAGCTCTTTTACCATTTTTCTCTTCCCAAGGCTTTTATTCTGTTGAATAGTCAGTTCATGCTGCCAAGATAAGCTGATAGAACCTACTTCTTGTTCTCAATCATAGAAAATTTGACAGATAGATAGCAAAATGGATGGGTAGGAGAGCAGATAAATAGATTGGCTTGATAAGACTAATCTGATATAAATAATGGACAGGTAACACTGAATAATTTTCTGTGTGATAAAGGTATGTTTCTTGTCCAAAAAGAGCATACCCCATTTAATTGAGGAGTCTAATATGATAAATACTGAAACCAGCTGAGTTTCAAGCAATGTGAGCATGTATATAATTAAAACCATGAGTTTTAGATTAAAGGAACTGAGAAAAGAGAGGTGAACATAGGTGAAGTTATTAGAGGAAATTTGCTAAATGAAATGTGAATTGAATTGGGCCTTTAAGAAACAAAAGAACTTGGAAAATGGAGAGGAATGAGGGAGGAAGGCATTTCAACTTGCACAAAGAAGCAGACAAATGAATGGGGGCAAAAATAAATATATGAGGAGGATAAGAGGGATAAATGATACTGGATATATATGGTGGAACTTGATTATGGAAGACAATGTTAGATGATAGGATTTAGACCTTAAAATCAGAGATAATGAGACATCAGATTCTTGAGTAGAGACATAGTATAATAAATGTAAGGTTACTTGGAATTCAGATACATACACAGTCAGTTTTTCATTACAACTTAATTCCTTTTATCTCTCTCAGGGAGGGAAGGAGGAGGTAGATTTAGAAACTAAGAATAGATGTGAAGAAAAGAGATGGGGTGTTAATTCACTGAAGTGTTTTGGCACTTAAACCTGAGGTGAGAAAAGTGTTGACTCTTTTTTTAAAAAAGATCTGTTAAACAAACAAAACCTATGGGCCCTCTTTCCAGAAAAATGCAAATACATTAAAAAAGCTGCATATAATTTCAGGTGGTATACAGACTATAAGTTAAACAGCCATGTATTAAACTAAGTTCTTTTAGGGATGGAATTATCTCTTTTACATCTCTGTATCCCAAGTATTTGATGAATAAATGAATAGCTGTATACTTGCCTTTTCTTCCACTTGGGATGCTTCCCTTGTCTGCCAGAGAAACCCTGTGTCTCTGAAAGTGTCTCTAATAACGTCCAACACCCAAAAGTTAGATGCTTTTTTCTCTGTGCTCTGCGGCTCTTACCTCATTTTATAGTAAGAGCTGCCTGTTGTTGAACTCCTATCCTGCATCAGGTACTCTACTAGCTCCCATCACCCCCATTCCGCCTTTTTTGTTTCCTTTTCTTATAACTTCTTTTTTTTTTTAATAAAAAAATTTTTCCCCTAACAGAAGCACTGGGGATTGAACCCAGGGCCTTGTGCACGCCAAGTGTGTGCTCTACCACTGAGCTTTATCCCCACACCCTGTAACTTCTTTTTGAAGGAGATATTTTTATTCCTATTTTACAGGTAAGGAAATTGATGTCAAGGCCTCAAAGTGAATGGAACAAAGTTTTGGACTTATTTATTAAATTGGTTTTCATGTTTATTTAAATGTCTGTTTCTTCTCCCTCTGCTCAAAACTCATCAGTGGCTGAGACCTTCTTCCAATCATTTTTATATCTCCAGGGTCTGGTACATTGTCTCAGTCATTTTGATTTTAAGACTATATGCGAGTGAATGAATATGTAAAAATTATCCTTTTTCTCTTAATTTATTATAGAGAGATTAAAGGTCTGATTTTTTTCCTGAAGATTATAAAATCTTCTAGGACAGGAATTTTATACTTTACTTTTTGGTGACTTCAGTAGGAAATACATCTGGCACAGGGTGAGTCCTCAGTAAATGTTTGTTGATTTAACAGATAATATATTGAAGTGCTTTGGAAAAAAAGACAACATTGTTCAAATGTAAACTGGTGAGATTAATGAATTCATTCTGTTAAGTATTTAGTACTCTGTTACAGGAACTGTCTCTGTAGCACTTACTATTGAGCTACATTTTACCTTCACAGTATCCTTGAGTCTAAAATGTCTTGATTTAGGAATACTATCAATTTTTTTTTATTCAAAGGTACAAGTAGTAATTGACTTGGAGTAATTGTAGTATTTATTTCTTTATGTGTTCTAAATACACTTGAAATTTTAAAATTATAGGTCATCTAAAACTCCCTGGCTTACTTATTAGATAGAAATTTCTATTTCTCCTTTTAGAATGTGATTATTTTGGCTTATTCCTTTCAGTGATGAAATTTTACTTGACTGGAGAAACAAGTGATTGTAGATTTAAGATGACTTTTAAGAAATAGAATGAGAAAATGTAAAATCTCTCTCATAATTTTTCAGAATTTTGAGATAGATCACCTAGTAGGTCTATGAGGAATCTTGGATTCTGCCACTAGGCCTAAAATTCAGTTCTAGTGTAGAATCTATTTATGAATGTGATTGGGATTAAGAGATGTGTTATTTGTGTTTACTTTTACATCGTAACCTCTCTAACCCTCAACAGGTAGATAGATAGGGATAAAGCAAGAGAGGTATTTCCATTTTTTAAAATGAGTTATAGTCAGTTTACAGTATTGTATCATTTTCTGGTGTACAGCACAATTCTTCAGTCATACATGAATATACATATATTCATTTTCATACTCTTTTTCGCCAAGAGCTACTACAAGATCTTGAATATATTTCCCTGTGCTATACAGTATAAACTTGTTAATCTGTTTTATATATATCAGTCAGTATCTGCAAATCTCAAATTCCCAGTTTATCCCTTCTCACCCCTCTTCCCCCTGGCAATCACAAGTCTGTATTCTATGTCTGTGAATCTGTTTCTGTTTTATATATAAATTCATTTATCTTTTTTTTTTTAGATTACACATATGAACGATATCATATGGTATTTCCTTTTTCTTTCTGGCTTACTTCACTTAGAATGACATTCTCCAGGGACATGCATGTTGCTGCATATGGCATTATGTTATCATTTTTATGGCTGAGTAGTATTCCATTGTATAAATATACCACATCTTCTTTATCCAGTCATCTGTTGATGGACATTTTAGATTGTTTCCATGTCTTGGCAATTGTGAATAGTGCTGCTATGAACATTCGAGTGAAGGTGTCTTTTTGAATTAGGGTTCTTTCTGGATATATGCCCAGGAGTGGGATTGCTGGGTCATATGGTAAGTCTATTTTTAGTCTTTTGAGGAATATCCATACTGTTTTCCACAATGGCTGGACCAAACTGCATTCCTACCAACAGTTTAAGAGGGTTCCCTTTTCTCCACAGCCTCTCCAGCATTTATCATTTGTGGACTTTTGAATGATGGCCATTGACTGGTGTGAGGTGATACGTCATTGTAGTTTTGATTTGCATTTCTCTGATAATTAGTGATACTGAGCATTTTTTCGTGTGTCTATTGGTCATTCGTATGTCTTCATTGGAGAATTGCTTGTTTAGGTCTTCTGCCCATTTTTCGATTGGGCTGTTTGCTTTTTTCTTATTAAGTCATATGAGCTATTTATATATTCTAGAAATCAAGCCCTTGTCAGTTTCATCTTTTGCAAATATTTTGAATATTTCCATTTTAGACACTAGTCACCTACCAGAAAGTGGTAAAGCTAGTATTTAAAACCATGTTTCCCAGGGTTTGTGTTTTTTTTCCCACTTTATCACAATTGGGTTACTTTAGGCTAGGGTTTAAAGTTTAAACTAATTTCAAATAAATGCCAAATTCATTGGTCAGCATTTTTCAAAGGTTAAATTGTTTGATGTTTATCTCCGATCACATTAAATTTTATGTATTTCATTTCTGCTTAGGTAAATATGCTGAAGATATATTTGGAGAATTATTCAATGAAGCACATAGTTTTTCCTTCAGAGTTAATTCATTACAAGAACGTGTGGACCGGTTATCTGTTAGTGTTACACAGCTTGATCCTAAAGAAGAAGAATGTAAGTTTATTGATATTATATTTTCTTTCACATGTATATTTTAGGTTAGGTGGAATGTGTGATACATATTTAAGAATAATATTAAACATGAATTTATTAAAAAATAATAACTGGGAGAAATGTACTTTAATTCATCAAAGAAGTAAGTGCATACACACGCACACAAGGAAAACATGAATTTACTACAAATCTTTTTTACCCACGACCTTTGTTGTACATGTTGTAATAGATCAGTGGATTATCTATAAATGCCATTAGCATGAATTTTCTGGGTTTTGTACTCTTTTTTTCCTTTTTTTACCTCTTCTTTTTGTATAATAAATAGCTCTTCATGTTTTGACATAAAATTTTTTTTAGGCAGGCTTTTCTTCCATTTTCTTTCTCATTTCTTTTCTTCCTTATAATTTACTTATATACTTTCGTCTTAGAAATAAAAATATTTGAAAATTACCTGAAATTCTTAGGTTTGATTCTGTAAAAACGCAATTCCTTTTAACATGCTTTTGTGTGTGCATATTGCTAAATTGCTAAAATCTGATCTGGTTATTTAAATGTTACTTCCCATTTTAAATGATCATTTCCAAAAAAAAAAAAAAAAATACCAGTATGTAGGACAAAAATTTTCTACACTGAGATATAAAGCTAGGGATATCAGGTTAAGAAAACTACATTACAGGCTAAAATAATGGTAGAAACTTTAGTGGTGAAACATTTCTTGCCTTGATAGAATACATTGACCAATCATATTTCTCAAATGCCTCTTTCTGTTTTTCTTTTAACCAAAAGAAATGAAACTACTAAGAACATAATCTACCCTAGAGGATTATTTAATGTGAATCTCTTACAATCCTCTCTTCAAAATGTTTTTTGTAGAATAATAGTTTTTAAATGCAAGTTATATAATAGATCTAAACTTGAACAATAAGACTATTAAAGGTTATCACTAGAAAAAGCAAAGGAAGAATATAATGATTGATGTTTTAGTGATGGAATGAACTTCTTCTGACATAACTAATTTAATACATGAATAAAGAGAGGTAACTTACTATGCTATGTTTCTACTGCATGCAAAGATGGAAAGTTATATAGGTCTGGATATGAGGAAAAACCAAGACAGTACTTAAAAAAAAAAATCAAACAGCTTTCTTGAGATATATTTCATACACCCTACAATTAATTAACTCATCTAAGGTTAAAGTGTACAGTTCAGTGGTTTTTAGTCTTTTCACAGAGTTGTGCATCTGTCACCACAATCAGTTTCTGGAAAATTTTCATCCTCCTCCCCAAAAACCCTTTATCATAGCAGTCACTTCCCATCCGCCCTTCTCCCTAGCCTCTAGTAATCACTAACCTACTTTCTTTCTCTATGAATTTGTCTATTCTGGACATTTCATATAAATAGAAACATACAATATATGGTCTTTTGTGATTGGCTTCTTTCACTTAGCATAATGTTTTCAACATTGGTTCATTTTGTAGAATGTATTGGCATTTCCCTGATGACTAAAGATGTTGAGCATCTTTTCATACCTTATAAGCCATTTAAGTGACAAGTCACTCGGCAGGAAAATGGTGGAGCTAAGATTTGAAACCAGGGTTTAAATGACTTACTGGCCATTTTTGAATCTTCTTTGGAGAAATGTCTGTTCATATCCTTTTCCCATTTTTAATTAGGATTATTTTTCTTTTTATTGTTGAGTTAAAAGAATTCTATATATGCTCTGAATCCAAGTCCCAAATCTTATGATTTGCAAAGATTTTCTCACATTCTGTGGGTGATATCCTTTAAAATGTTTATGTTTATTAGTTACACCTCGTGAAATTCTTGAAATCATTGCTAATGTTAAAAAAATATTTTATGGCTATATGTTCAAGTATGTCATTTACATCCAAAATTTCTTTTTTAAATAACTTAAACATTTCAGTTATAAGTACATTTCATCTAATAATATAGAAATACATAGGCAGTTCTTTTATGTAACAGAAATAAAAATTAACATTTACTTTCAAAACACTTTCAAAATTTTAACATATTTTAGCATTCTTATTAAAATTGAAAATGAAACTAATAAATAACTTAAGATGCGTTTAAGTGTTAAAAAATTCTTAATGGGCCAGGAAAGGAAAATTGGTCAATTTCCTTTAAAATTATGTGGAGCACTGGGGAGAAATTCAGAACCTAAAAGTTGAACTACTTAATTTGAAATTGTTTTGGGGAAGTTGGATAGAGGAATTTTCAAAGTTATTTAACCTAGATTTTTTAACTCAGTGAAAGTTTAAGCGAAGTAACATTATAAGTACAATTACAGAGTGTAATATCAATATTTGGGTTTTTTTAATTACCATTAAATAGTAAGTAACAATGAGAACTACCAATGTAATTTAGAAAGTGTAAAAAACTGAATTTTTAAACAAAGACCTGTACAATTATATTTAATTCAATTATGTTTACAAACGTGCTGACTTACTGTTTTGTTGTAACACTAAGTAATATCAAATGTCATTGTTGGCAGCTGTCACTGTGGTCTGTTGACAAATTAGAGAAATGATAAATGAGAGTTGAAGATAGAAAAATGCTTACTAATTTACATGTTTTTTATATCCTTTACTAAGGACGTTTTGGAAGATTAAACACTAGGTTTCAACTTAAGGTTAATAAGGAGGGGTAAGAGAGTGGCAAGAATTGATCCATTTTGATTGCAGAAAACTGAGGCCACTTCTGACATGAGCCAGGGGAACAGTGTGTGGTATTGTGACAAAAGGATTAGCTTCAAAGGCAGACAGATCTAAGTTTTCTGTTCTGACTCTACCACTTATTAACCATTTTACCTTGGGCCAGTTATATAATGTTTTCTATTTTCTTCTGTTTAAAAATGAAATAATTCCTATCTCATTAAATTGTTGTAAGATAAGTAAAAATTAGTGAAAGCTTCTAGCACTATAGTATGTATTCATTAAATATCCTTCATACTACTCTTTAGTGATGGTAGGAAAAAAACTTTTTTCCTTCTCTGAATTTTATTACGGTGTTTTTAAGTGTGTTACAAGTCAGGTAGCAGTAGAATTGCTGGAAATGCAGTCATCGTATGGCTATTGCATTGCCAGCCTCATTGCTCCATTTATTTCATAAATCCAAACATTCATGTTGAGTGAGTTTTATTTGTGAGGATGAAAGAGATATTATTTTAGGGAGAAAAATAATTTAAGAATTTTTACGATTATTTAGTACTGACCTTTCTATGATATAAAGTATCTATACTTAAGCTATATTAAATATGTAAGAAATTGCCTAATTTTTTAATATCAGGAACTCACTCTGAGAGTTAAGAATCTAGTATTTTGGTACATTTCTTATTTTAACATGCTTCACCGTCCAAAAGAAAATGAGTAAATGAAGTTATTTTAAACCCTCATATATATATATGATGGGGTTGTGCTAGTTACTGAAGACACTAAAGTACAAGATAGTCTCAGTCTTCAAGAGCTTAGTTAAGGAGAGGTCCTTATGAAGATAAAAGATAAGTGAAATAAACAATAATACAGACTGCCGGGTACTTGAAAATTTCATTTTCTTTACAGTAAGTTTGTTTTAACTTTATAGTACATTTATCATATTTATAGTCTCCTAGCATAGAGGGCAATAGTGTGTTTAGCCCACTGACATGCCACTGATAATTTAATTCCTTCGGTGTTATTGATATAAGCTAAATGAAATTAATAAAGGGAGATGAAAAGAAAATTATAGGAAAAAAGAAGAGAAGAATGTAGGTTGGTGGGAGCTGGGGATGGCAAGTAGAGAAAAGAGAAAGATGTATTTGATGGGAAATGTAGGATACGCTTCAGGTGTCATTAGAACCTTCTGAGCCTCAGAAATCAAAAGCTGCATTAAAACTCATCTGATTGGGAAAATAAAGCACAAATTGATTTGGGATACAGTGATAGAGCATTAAAAATATGGTTCCTGATTCATAAGCCACTACAGTCAGAACCTTCTGATCCATGCTGACTTTTAAACAAAGACAGTATATGAATTTGCCCTTATGTTAAATCATCTTAGTAAAATAAAACAAAATACATTTTGGATTTTTGTTTTAGTGTCTTTGCAAGATATAACAATGAGAAAAGCTTTCCGAAGTTCTACAATTCAAGATCAGCAGCTTTTCGACCGCAAGACTTTGCCTATCCCATTACAGGAGACATATGATGTTTGTGAACAGCCTCCACCTCTCAATATACTCACTCCTTACAGGTCAGTAGGCTAATAAATACGAAGGCCAGTTATTTTTCTCAGACTTCAGATTGAAACAGGTAGTAGTGTACCTTTAAATGCTAAATCCCCAAACATTTTTAATATCACTGGACTCCTGACCGATGTATAGAGCCCTCTTTGTCCACCACCTTTAGAAAACCTTTGCTTTATTCACTAGGTGAGTTCCCAAGGTTCTGGTATACAAAAGACAAGACTTATTCAATGGAGTTGTTTTAACATGTATTTTTTTAAAACGCCAATGGCAAATATTAATATGAAGGGAAAAGAAGTTGTTACTGTCTTTTTAATTTAATTTCTAATTGGATAGAATGAAAAAAATAAAGAGTTCAAAATCCCACCACATTAATAAAATAAATACTATTCTTTCTTGTTCTTGTCCACTCTTGATCTGTATGCATTAAATTTTTGTATAATGAATATGTAATATCTCTTTAAAAAAATTTTTACCATTAAAAAAATCTGGAGTTATTAAGCCTTTCTTTGGAGTCTTTCACATGAATTGTTAAATGGGTCATTTAAGAGGTATAATACATATCCTGGATAAATGGTATTTGGATAGTTATTTGAAACTATCTGTCAGTAGGCAAGTGATTGGATGTAACTTACTACTAGAATGACTATTCGATGATATTTTTTGGATTTCGTAAGATGATTAGTAAATGAGAGTATTGGCAGACACCCTGTATAATTTCTCTATTCTAAATGATGTTATTATCCTTTCAGGCTTTTACCTTTGGCAGAATCATTTGTAATTATTGGCATTTCCCACAGGACTTCTAGAAAACATGGTATTCAGTAGAAGTTAGGGATGAAAATAGTCCAGCTGTACTTTAAATTATTAACACTAACTCTGAAAAGCTTTTGGTTTTCCATTTTCCTTAGTTTCCTGTCTGATTTGTGAGTTCTGTTGGTGCCTATTCTGATTTATTTTGTCAGTATTTTTACACATGCTATATTTTGTTAATGTAGGAGGAAAAAAATTGTAGTAAAATTATTTCAATTCTGATTGTCTCTTTAAGTCTTACTAATGTATGTTTTAATTGATATTGTGTATTTCAGAGATGATGGTAAAGAAGGTTTGAAGTTTTATACCAATCCTTCATATTTCTTTGATCTATGGAAAGAAAAAATGTTACAAGATACAGAGGATAAGAGGAAGGAAAAGAGGAAGCAGAAGGTATTACAAGAAATTCAAAAAATTGAAGTTAGTTTTCACATATTTCTGTTTTGTTGTATATATGGAACTTTGTAAATGCTGTACTTTGACAGTTTTATTTGGTCCATATGGTCAAATACACAGAAAGATCGCAGTCTAATGGGGAGCAAATAAGCACTTAGGTTATTATAATATGGTGTGATAAGTATGCTAGCAGAGGTATGCATGGAGGGTTTGGGTGGCACAAAATAGCACCTGCTTTAAACAGAAGACAGGGACACTTCAACAAAGCTTATAATGAATCTTGAAGAACAAATAGGAATTAAGTGGATCAGGGAAGAGACAGGCATTCTGTTAAAACGAAGCAAAGGAATATTGTGCAGATATTGGTAAAGTAGATTAAGTTAATGTTTTCTTACCATAGAGCATATCCTAAATGTTCTGGAAAGGTTATTACATTCTCACTAAATTCCTATCATCTGTCTGCTCTGCTGTCATTTCTGCTTTCTAATAAAATTCACTTGGATATGTTTTATTCCATGTTAATGATAACTAGAGATACAGAAGGAGAAGACAAAGTTGGATGTAGGCAGAATTATGGAGGAGGCAGCATCTGTCTTTATAATTCCTCTGTTTCTCCTGTAGCTATCTCTTCTCTCCCTGCTCTTCTCCACAATGCCTACATGTCATTATTTTCTGCACTAGACAATGTACCAGTGTTCTAGCCAGAGTTTGCAAACTGGTGACTGGTAGCCCAGACTAAGCCAGCAAGCAGTGTTTTGTTTGACAAACACAGTGGTTTTAAAATTTTTATTTGGAATGCCTTAGATGGACATACCAGTCTAGTTCACTGCAGGCCTTATCTTATACCTGACTCTTTTTATTCATGTTACTTGCTTGGCCTCTTTGGAATTTGACTTGTTACACCTACCCTAGACCTTTCTATGCTTTTTCTTTCACAGTTTGCATCATTTTTTTCAAATACCCTGTTTTCTATTGAATGATATAGTTATTATGTTTTAACTGGGTAATTGGATTTTTTTCTAATGTATGGGCTACATAATTAATTACTTGTCAGATTAACATAACCTTAGTAAATTTTCACCTTTTGGCTAGAGGTAGACAGTTACCATTAATGATAGAAATTTCACTCATTGTAGCAAAAACTGATAGATGTGGGAGCAAAGTTGCATCTTTTTTCATCTGACAGGACTTTCTAACGTAAAGTTTTATTATTTAGGCATACTATTTTTATCTGCTGTATCAATTCCAATTGGAGGTTCAAAAACATGAGAAATTGTGATTACAAGCAAACTAGCTAACTTAGTTCTGAATGCACAAATGAATTGTCTCTGTTACTTTTACTGTATTATGATAACATTGTCTTTTTCAATATTGATGTTAGAATTCTATTTTGATTATTATAACCTCTTTTTTAAAATGTAGCATTTCAGCATTTGGCTTTGTTTCAATACATCTGTTATAGCAGAAAAATCTAGATCGTCCTCATGAACCAGAAAAAGTGCCAAGAGCACCTCATGACAGGCGGAGAGAATGGCAGAAGCTGGCCCAAGGTCCAGAGCTGGCTGAAGATGATGCTAATCTCTTACATAAGCATATTGAAGTTGCTAATGGCCCAGCCTCTCATTTTGAAACAAGGTTTCTTTTCTTTTGTTTGTCTTTTTAACAAAATTAATGGTAAAACACTGACTTTATTTCTAATACCTGTAGCTCTAAGTCTTAGGTCCTGAACTGTTGAATTGACAGACTCTACTGTATAAAGTTTTAGTTGATTTTGAAACCCTGACCACTGTTTCCCTATTGAAGTCTGATCTTGGGCAGGTCGTTTTCATACTTGGACTTTAGTTTTGTCATCTGTAGGAAGAAGTGTTTGGAGTAGATGATCTTCAGGGTTGTTTTAGCTTTCATGTGAAGTCTCAACTCCCTCTCAATAGTTCAGGCAGAGTCGGCTAGAATTTTATAATACAGTAACAGGGTCTGGAGGTGTTTTGTTTTGTTTTGTTTGAAGTACTATTGATTCACTATATATAAAATAGGAGTTGAAAAGGGGCTATATTTTGTTCCTTTTTCTTTCTCCTGACTTCCTTTCTATGCTACATCTCCCACTCAGATGTGTCAGAACTTTCAAACAAAATTACTCATCCCCTTTTGCAGAAATATACAGTAGGTCCTGTTTCTTCTTGAGTATCCAGGGGCCCCATCTAACTAACATGCTACACTAAGAAACATATTAGCATCTCTCTGTGAAGAAATTTACTTACAGTTGATTATAGTTATTATTATATATTTTATAATTACTGATTGAATGGAAAAGAACTTTAAGATTTTCTTTTGAATAATACGTGTAAATTGTTAGGCCATAAGTATAAAATATCTTGGCCTATTTTAGGAGTAATATGCAAGATACTATCCATATGCAGTATTAAAAGAAGGAGACCGAAAGAATTGATTTTTTTTAAATTAATAATTTCTAGACAAACATTTCTACTACTGTTAAATGATTAAGGTATTTAGCTGACCTGATAGTGTAAATATAGTACTTTCTGGTTTGCTTTGTGTACATCTTTTAAATCCATCTTTGTCCCTAGCATACACTACAGTCAGTAAATGTTTATGTCTTGCTCAGTGTATCTAAGATTTTGCTTATATCTGACTTAAGTTTTATGTTATTATTTACTCAGCTATTTTCTGAGTACCCTAGCACCTTAGAAAACAGGAAAAAGACAAAAACAATGTAGTTAGCCATCTCTGTGCTACTGGTATCAGGGAGGCCTTTCTCCCTTAGGTACAAGACATTTGGAAGTCATTTAGTTTTAAGAGAGCAACAGGATATCCTGGCAGTAAAAAATTCCAGTTTTCATATTCTAGCTTTTTGTCATTGGCATCTTTTTGTAAAGAAAAAAATTAAATAGAGGCAGACCACTTTGAACAAATTTGCTAAAAATTCATTATTTTCTTATTTATAAGATTATATATGTAATACTCTTCACCCTTGTGAATTGAATTCATTTTATACTATAAAATAATGAAATAACTGAAGGCCATCGTAATAACCTGAATCAGCAAGGAAAGTGCGTTGTGAGCAGCATTCTGTGTTTTAAAAGCAGGATGAATGTAATAAATTTCTGAAAGAAGTTTCTTAAAAGTAGTTAAAATATTGGCATTCAAAGGATAAACCTTAAATATCTCATAAAGAACGCTTCACCAATAATTCAAGAAAAATACACTGATATTATATATATTTTTTTAGACCTCAGACATATGTGGATCATATGGATGGATCTTACTCACTTTCTGCCTTGCCATTTAGTCAGATGAGTGAACTTCTGACTAGAGCTGAGGAAAGAGTCTTAGTCAGACCACATGAACCACCTCCACCTCCACCAATGCATGCAACAGGAGATACGAAACCCATACCCACCTGTATCAGGTATGTCGGGACAAGGACATGATGTTTTCTCTCAGAGGTTGGTAACCCTTTTCTTTAAAGGCCCATATAGTAAATATTTCAGGCTTTGTGGGTGTGTGGTTTCTGTCACAACCACTTAACTCTGCCATTGTTGCATGAAAGCAGCTATGTACATAAATCTGCATTTCTACAAAACTTTATTTATAAAAACCCGAGTGGGTCAGATTTGGCCTTTGGGGCATAATTTGCCAGCCTCTGACAAGAGCTGACATTCTCTTGGGAAAATTTAGTTAATGAGAATTTAAACATTAAAGTGTCTTTCATTTTATTATAGTTTTCTGTATCAAGCACATGATGTGCAATATATGAACAAAAATTAAGAATTTTTGGAATGTGGTTATTAGGGACTAAGAAATGGGAACCAAGGATGTGATTATAAATGTTAAATTTGATATTAGGGGAAATATTCTAAGAATTTGAGGGAGAATAGATAATTGCTGCTAATAATCTTCCAGTAAAGCTATTTTGAAGTTTAATTGTGTCCATTGTTATCCACTTTGCAGTTTTTTAAAATAGAGAAACAGAGATCAGTATTACAATTTTCAGTTTAAAAAATCAACCTTATATCACTGACTTATTTGATGTTCCACCCTCAGCAAGGAAGAGGGCCATAAATTTCCTTTTGTGGTTTGTAATTAGTTGTCATTGATTTAACTGAAATGACATATGATGAGTCTCAATAGCTTCAATATAAATACAGTATTGTATGGGCCACAGGTATTGCTACAAATATTGTAATTTAAGAAGTGTTGTATCATTACAAAGACTCATATCAGAGTGTAAAATTGAGCACTTTATTTATCAAAATAAGCATAAAATGCTTGAGTGCATATGAAAGTTGCATGAGAGGATGAGACCATTTAGAATATTACAAATTAAAGCACCATGTATTACTTTTCTTGTTAGTGTACTTTTAGTTCTCATTGTATTCTAAATACTGCTGAAGAATTTTTATAGGAACATGTGAATGAGTGCCTTCTTAGCGCAGTAGGCAGTGCGTCAGTCTCATAGGAACATGTGAATGCATCTACCTTGATGTAATTACTGATAAGCATTTATATTTTGTGTGGTTAGTTTTTCCTCTTTAAATAACTTGCTAGGATCTCTTTATCATTTCAGTTCTGCTACAGGTTTGATAGAAAATCGTCCTCAGTCACCAGCTACAGGCAGGACACCTGTGTTTGTGAGCCCTGCCCCCCCACCTCCTCCACCACCTCTTCCATCTGCCTTGTCAACTTCTTCATTAAGAGCTTCAATGACTTCAACACCTCCCCCACCAGTACCTCCCCCACCTCCACCTCCAGCCACTGCTTTGCAAGCTCCAGCAGTTCCACCACCTCCAGCTCCTCTTCAGATTGCCCCTGGAGTTCTTCACCCAGCTCCTCCTCCAATTGCACCTCCTCTAGTACAGCCCTCTCCACCAGTAGCTAGAGCTGCCCCAGTATGTGAGACTGTACCAGTTCATCCACTCCCACAAGGAGAAGTCCAGGGGCTGCCTCCACCCCCCCCACCGCCTCCTCTGCCTCCACCTGGCATTCGACCATCATCACCCGTCACAGTTGCAGCTCTTGCTCATCCTCCCTCCGGGCTACATCCAACTCCATCTACTGCCCCAGGTCCCCATGTTCCATTAATGCCTCCATCTCCTCCATCACAAGTTATACCTGCTTCTGAGCCAAAGCGTCATCCATCAACCTTACCCGTAATCAGTGATGCCAGGAGTGTACTTCTGGAAGCAATACGAAAAGGTAATTTTCTCAAGAGCCATTAAATGTGTTGCTATGATAGCATGAGAAACTTTCTAAATATTTGAGACAGTAATGTTGTCTTCATTTATAAAATTTTAGATAATCATGTTTTTACACAAATGATCTTTGGAAAGTAAAACTTTGATTTATATTTTAAGTCATTTTCAAGAAAATATATCACATTAATTATTTTATTTTCATACTAGTAGAGTTTCTTAAAACGTTAATTGAATGAATGAGAAACTAAAAGTATCAGACTAAACATTATAGAAAACTTAGTTAAAACCCTTCATCTTATATTTAATATGTATAATTAACTCCTTTAAAAGTGGCATTTTCTTCAGTGTTAAGGCTGTCAGTTTGATGTATAAGTGACACTTGCTCTACCAATGCCTTTAAAGGATTAAGTTTCCTCCCTTAGTAACAAAGGAAAGACTTGTCATATTCATTTATTTATTCAGCCAACATTTCATAAGCACCTACTATACGCCAGGCACTAACAGACAGAATGTAGTATTGCCTTCCTCTCAAGTACTGGGGAGAATAAAACCATAGAAAATACCCTCAACAGTGTTTAATTTATTTGACTGTACAGGTAACAAACAAAAGAAATGTATTACCTGGTTAAAATTTAGGGAATAGTGAGTAGGGAAGCAGAATAGAACATATGGCTAAACAAACTATAGATGTCCACTGGGATATGTGATTAGTCACCAAGTAATATCACAGATGATAACATGATAAAAGAATTAGTGTCCCTCTAAATATGATTCCTTCAAATTCTTTTTAATAGATCTTGCTTTTTATTTTTCTGCTAGTATTTTTCATGTGTATTTGATTTTATTATATTAATAATATCTAATAATACCTAGTTTTTCGTATTTTGGTTTACAATGAATGGTTTGGATTTACTATATCAGGTATTCAGCTGCGAAAAGTCGAAGAGCAGCGTGAACAGGAAGCTAAACATGAACGCATTGAAAATGATGTTGCCACCATTCTGTCCCGCCGTATTGCTGTGGAATATAGTGATTCAGAAGATGATTCAGAATTTGACGAAGTAGATTGGTTGGAGTAAGAAAAAAAATGCATTGATAAATATTACAAAACTGAATGCAAATGTCCTTTGTGGTGCTTGTTCTTTGAAAATGTTTGGTCATTCCAGTGTTTTGCTTTCTTTTCCTTAAGGTAAATAACCCTTTTCCACCATAATATTTGATTTCTAAGAAAAATATTAGCATATGTTTCCAACTAAATGTTTTACAGTGGCTTATCTTTTTTTATTTTTCCCTGAAAAAGACATAATTTGGTCAAATAAACCACTAAGTATTAAGCATGGACAGCTGTTGTTAGAGTAGCAGATTCAGTTTTTTGATATATCTTAATTGTGCACTTTGTGAATTTTAATTTAAAGAAAGCAACTGAGATTAAAAATCTTGAGGGCAGCTGTATCTATTAATGAGCCTTATTCCATTTCCTTACGTTTTAAAAGAAGAAACACTGCCTTGATTATATGAACACACTCAGATAAGTACATTTAGCTTGTAGCATTGAATTCTCTTAAAGGAATGCTTGAATTTTTTTTTAATTATTGTTTTATTGTTTTTAAATACTTGCCTTATTTGAATGTTTAGCAGTATCCCCTTCCTACTTATATATTGTGTGGTACAATTTTGCTTGCCTATAAGAGTTTAAAATTTTTCCATGTGAAATACTCGGACATAAACCATTGTAACTTACCTAACTGTTAAGAGTAACAGTCTGATTTAATAAATGGTTCATTTTAAAGGTTCATGGGTGTTTCCTCTTTGAATAAAACTATTTCTGATAGTTTATCAAGTAATATAAAGTAAACTAAATAGTAAATGAAAAATTTTAAATTGCCTAGTATGTAAGCTTGCTTTTATATTATATGTATATCCTAAAGTAAAAAAAAAAATCAGTATTTTTCAACTCCTTACACTCTTGAATTAAAATCTCACCTTGCTCTCTAATTTCAGCACACTTTGACTTCATTATAACAGCATTCTTGAAACTACATTTTGCAGTGGTAAAATGAGTTGTTAACATTTACACAGTCCAGATTCAGGGATAGAGGGAGAGCAGCATCAATATCAAATTATTTAGTCTGAAGAAAAGACTAAATGGGGTTTTGATAGTTTGTAAAAGGGACTGTAATCTTCATCTTTGCTTCTACCTCTTTTGCAATGCAATTCTCAGTTTCTTCCCATCAAGAGACAGGTTCTATTCTCACCTCTTTGAATCTGAGTGTCCTTGAGACTTATTTTGGCCAAAAGCATGTGGCAGAAGTAAGCTCAGCCCAGTCTGCTAGAAGTTCAAAAATCTCATGCAGAGATCTATCCCAACTGAGGCCAGCTTAGACCAGCCAATTGCAAGCTCACCTGCTGGCTAACTGTAGACGGATGAGCAACCCTAGCTAAAATTAGCCCAGTCTAGAAGAACCGTTCAGCTGACTTATAAATTCATGAATAAAAATAAATGTTTATTGTCATACACCTAAGTTTTGAGGTGGATTATTTCACATAGCATTGTGGCAATAGATTACTGATACAGGGGGCCATTGGTAAGTTGCTAATTTGGGGGGTTTTTTAGGCAGCTAACTAATGATCTGTAATCTTTGTAGAATAGGAATGATGAATCAAGTCCACTGTAGCAATACAGTTTGGACATAAAAAACTTCCTAATAACTCTAATAAAATGATTTGCTTTGCTCTTTTGGGTTGCTTTGCCTAGAACAAGAGATCAGATAGCTGTTTAAGGTTTCTTTCCAACCTCATGGAACTGTATAGTGTTGAATTTAACTCAAGAAAGTATGCCACAATTTAAAGTTCGTCTTTCTACATGTGCTTATATGGTCAAAAGGCAGTAACTGGTAGGTTTTGTAAAACTCAGTTGTGGCCAGGTAACTAAAAGATAATGGTGCTGGTGTCAGTATAGTTAAGGGTGATACAAAAGGAAGTGGTTGAAGATTTCTTAATAATAGAAGTGGATCTGTTGTAAAGCCTGCAAGTGTGTATCCTAAATAGTTTATGATAGGTTTTTTTGTTTGTTTTTCAGAACATTCCTAGAACATAAGAAAGTGCCCAGAGACTGAAGAGGCCATATATGTAGTATTTATTTTAAAATCAAAATAACCTTTCAGTCTAGTATTCAACTTAACCTGCTGAGAGACTTTTGGAACAAATCATTCTGTAGTCAATTTTAATACCCTAAGAAGAATGAAAGTTACTGGGTAATGACTATTTTTTTTCTTATTGAATTATGTTACTGTTGCACAAGATTGTGCATAAGCATAGAGGCAGAAAGAATGAATTACATATTATGGAGAAATAATCCATATTACCAGATCCAATGAACATTCTTTAGTCCTCAATTTATTTGATCTTTATATTCTGCCTGTACTCTACCTCCTTGAAACTGTCAATCCCTCTGGCTTTTTTTGTAACACTGTTCCTTCCCCTCACTGATAATGATGGGACAGAAGAAGGGGAGGGAAATGCTTAACAGTAGAGTGTGGGATAAAATTCAGTCATTGTGGAGGGAAAGGAAGTGTGTCTATAATGTTTCCTAAGTAAGGGATATTTGTAAGCTGCAGAATTATAAGGTGTTTTAAGCTATAACTACTACTTTTCATAACAATCTATTTGGGAAGATGAGATGACTCCTGAAGCATTTTCATGTTATAAATATGTATTAAAGGTAAATGAGAATAATGTTCATTTCAGTAGTCTTCTGTAAATTATGAAACACTACCCTTTATATCCACTTTTTAAAAGCCCTACCCTTTCTTCAATAACCATCTCACATCCATATTTTCACGAAGTCTTCTCAGATGACCACAAATACAGTTGCCTAAACAGGCAACTCACAAGTACAGTTCATATTCCTTTTCAGTTTCTCTAAGTCTTTTATTATAAGCTTTCTTCAACTAATACTTAAGCCATTTTGTATCACAGTTATTTACTATTTGAGTTTGCCAAATAGGTTACTCACAGGACAGCAGGAGCCTTGTCCTAAACAGGCAACTCACAATATCTCGTCTTGTAAACAGGTTCAGAAATACCTCCTTTTTGTTCTGTCCTCTAAGGCTCTTAAAATTGTATCTTACTAGACACTGTTCCTGCTTAAAAAAATTTCCCCCACTGATCTCAGTAATACACTTGACCTAAAACTAGTCCTGGCTTCATAAAAATTCTGTGTGTGTGTGTAGTTTGAAAAATAGAAAGCATAGAATCAACTTTTCTGGCCAAAAGGTGAAAGTTACTAATATTTCTGAAGTCATTTATTAAGGTAGAGAGCAAAATTGATCAAATGTTTTGAGTTAATGGGAATTCTCATTAATTACTTTCAAAACATAGCTTTGATTTTGGCTATAGTAAACATACTACTGCTGGTTTGTTGGTTTGTTTCCATTTTCACTCTACTGCATTTATCTTGACCCCAACTTTTTTTTAAAACTACCTCCCTAAACTGAAGCAAGTATTATTTATTTGAAGCTCCTAAATAGTTTAGTAAATTCCTTCTAGAATTCATGATCTCTCTGTTATCTACTTAATTAAAAAATACAGATAAACCAATGCAGGATATTAATCATGCAATATCAGGATTTAAAGATGGTGTTGCTGCACTGAACTAATGAAAATGAAATATCAAATTACGGTATTTCTATATGGTGTCATATAACTGTAATTAATAGAAATCATCTTATTGCAGTCAAATAGAAGGCATAGAACCCTTGTAATACAAAGAATTAAGTCTTTTCCTCCCTTTATTCATTGCTGTACTAAGAACAAATTTATTTATTTCCTCCATGTTTCGGCTGTAGAATGCATCAGTAATCTCTGTTGCTTTTCAAGCCTGACAACCAGGCTCTGAATAAAGAATGAATACCAGCCTTGAATGAACATTTCAGGCACTTTTTTTTTTTTAACGGACTTTATCAATACCTTTTTCTTATTATTGTAAGGCCAGCTGCTCTGACTTTTTTTCTTTAGAAAAAAAATTTTAAACATGACTGAGCATGTATGGAAGTCATTTTTTCTCAGAATATTTATCGTTTCTTCTTTTTCCTATTATAGATAAATTTGTTTAGTGATAATGATTTTGAATATTTTATAGAGTCTGTATAAATATATTCCTTATATGTATGTGAGTGTAATACTCAAAGACTTCTTGGTAAATTTTTTATTTATCCATCCTGCCTTTAGGCTAGCTGTTTCAGTACTACTCTTGATAAAGGACATTGATGTCTCTGGGAGTAATGTGATTACACCTTTCTGGCCTGGAAACAATATAAAAGACACAAGAGCTTTCAAATCATAATCTGTCTTCTATTGTAACAATTTCCAGTATTACTTAAAAGTATCTGTTTCATTCTTATGAAAGCTATGAAATGTTATGCTTCTAACATTAAAGAAAATCTGTAGCAACTATTTATCTAGACCATACCAGATAAAGGAGCATATCTATTATTAATGGTTTGTTTTCATTTTCAGTTTTACATTTATTATATTTCTGTTTAACAAAACTTTTTGATGCCTGCAGTTACTTTGCTGGGTATTAGGGCCATAACAGTGAATAGACAGAGCCCTACTTTCTGAGCATACAGATAAATTAAAGAACAATGAAAGTTATGTTAAGGAAGCTCATAGCACAGAGAAAATATCTAGTCTAGGAAGTCAGGAGAGGCCTCCAAAAGGAAGTGATATTTAAAATTTGAGGTGGCCTGGTCAGGTGAATGTTGAAGTGAAGTTGGACAATCTTCCAGGCAAAGGAAATAGTTGTGTGCATGTCTGGAAATGCTTGATGCAAAGCTTGTAAGGAGTGGGGTAACTAGAAATAAGTTAGAAAGGTAAGCAAGAGCAAACCATGAAAGGGTCTTAGAAACCACATTAAGGAACTTGCATTATATTCTATGGGCAGTAAAACTGAGTAAGTAACATCAGAGTCGCATTTTGGAAAGAGAATTGGCAACCACAACATGGTATATGAGTTAGAAGTAAACTTAGAGGTCAAGAGACCAGTCACGCAGGTACAGTAGATGACAGATAATAATTGGAGGTGATAGTGACAGAGAAGACAGATAATGAGATAGATTCAAGAGAGATTTAGAATATGATGCACTGGACTTGGTAATTAGAGAGGAAGGAATCAAGGATAATTTCCAGAGCCCTGACTTACTGATAGAAGGACCATGAAGAAGAAGAGCAGATTTGGGAGGATGAGTGCTGCAGTTTAGGACATAAGGCAGGGAAAGGATTACTGACACAGTTGGCGGGAGGGATTAATCTTACATTTGTAAAAGGAAACCTTGCCTGCAGGAAGGAGAAAAGGAAGAATGTGTAACAGGTTTGAAGGTTTGGTGCCAAAAAAGTTGAGAAAGTGGTATCTGTTTTCTCTTTGAAGTAGATAACAGCACTGCTCAGGGTAATTGGGGAGCAGGAGGAGTGCGAGCAGTTTTAAGAAAAGTAGAAGAGGTTTGAAGTAGTCATTGTGGAAAATGGGAGAGAGCTTTCCAGGGAAATGGAAAATTGTAAGACAACATTGAAAATGTTGAGATTGGTGACGATGAATTTAAAGTGGCTCCAGTGATTTTTTTTTTCCCCAGCAGTCTGAAGACATTTGCCAGAATGATACATTTGGATTCATCCAGAGTTGGATTTTGCTTGTATTGTGAAATGAAAGAACTGTCTCTAGGGAAGCTTGACCCATGTCCTAGCCCCATGAGTAAACTCCCACATTGAAGTTCTTCTCATCTAATTTGCCATAA